TGAATGGAATGAAGCATCATCTATAAGCATCGCCGTGTTGTGTAGACGTTAATGTTTTGGTGAGTCGAGCGGTGCATTTACTTGCACTGCAGACGCGATGTGAATTATCATATCCGATGACCAGAGTCTAATGCGCTGCTAACAACAAGATCTGTTGGTGTAGTAGACGATGTCAGCGATTCTTAATAGCTATTGTAATTACTCTCGAGTAAGCGCGAAGCGTGGGTGTCCCATTATTTTCAAATATGCTGCACACATGCTGCTGACTGATGTTGGGAAAATGATGAATCTAATCGACGGCATTGGATAGACAGCAATAACTTTTGAGAGTTCCCCACACATTATGGAAAATGTTGATACATTGCACATCTGTCGAAGCTCAAGCTTCCTTTAGCTTGGGCGACAAGAAAATGGTTTTTCTTACTAGCCAGGTTAAGGCGGAAGAATGTTAAGTCTAGCCGCTGGGTGAACCAACCAGTTTGCTTACTTGGAGACGCAGTTCAAACCGAAGTTGAATGCTTGTTCTGCTGATTTGCACACGGTTGCAGTAAAAATATTCTAGGATTGACACGGACGATTCAAACTGAATTAATAGGTATATCGACCTGTATGACTCATTTTCTCGAGGCGCAATCTTTTTTTGTCGATTGTTATGTGAACTCTCCTCAACTCTCAAAAGCACCCTAATTGTCTGGAGATGAACTGAATGAGCAACACAAGTCCGAGGGGCTAGACAGAAATAGAGTCCAATCAATTACTTTATACTCTTAGCATGGAGGTATCCAGATCTCCCTGGGTGGGGAATCTCCACTGAGGATCGTAGGTTCTAATACCAGTAAAAGACAAAGTGTGTGCGAGGTACGGCTTGTAGAGCTTATAAAGCTCATGTTATTGAAAATTGCATGTAAAGCCTAACGCTTGAGCGCACCAAATTGAAGACGCTGAGAAACCTGGATTGAGTTCGACGGTCGACCTGTATGGTAGGCTCCGATCCCGGCAGTCGGCTCTGCGAGAGCCTCCGCTGCGGGGGCTCGTCGCGACTACGCGTGTCAAGGCTTGAGCACGATAGGCTGAAGTATTTTGCAGTACTTGCATGAATGATAGGCACACGTCGCAGGTCAACTACCACCAAGCACTGCATGCAATGTGACCAGTATAGAGGTGGAGGTGTAGGAAACGAGCTTTAACTATCTGCCTCATTCCGGAGCAGCTGGCAGCTCTAATGCAAAAGATGCCGCGCCACAGCATTAGATCACTGGTGCCATACATGCTACGCACTAAAATGTTAGTACTTGTTAATGTTAATCACAGTACGCAACGAACAAGGAGTAATAAACACACGATATGGACCATATCATATGGTGCGCCACAATATGTAGAAAATGCAAGTGCACGTAAGTAAGCAAGATTGAGTTGAACGCACCTTATGTGAAAAACCAGGATGTGAACTGTGAAACAAACTAGCGTAGTGTGGATAGTAAAGAGCCCGCAGTAATTCATGCGAAAATGATTCAAATCGAACTGGTCAATAAAAACTTTGCATTTTTGCAGCCGTCGTCAGGCCATTAGTTGTCGCTTGTCGCGTCTGGGGTTTTGTCGCTCGCCCAGTGGGTCCCTCCCCACGGTGGCTCGCGGATCTGTCGATCCCCAAGAGGGTTGTTCCACCCAGAATGACAACAATAATGAAGAATAGCTCAGTAACAAAAACTTCAGTATGGCGTCACGCTACCAGCGTGAAGTAGTACTCTTCAGGGACAGGGATAGGCAGTGCCAGTACATCCAGCCGAGACCTCATAGCACAATCCGTTGGCACTTTGGAGGAGACCGAAACAAACAGGAGTATCGAGCCAGGTCTTGCAGAAAGATTTCCACTGACTTGCTGAACAATCGGCGACTGACTCGCATGCAGAGGAGCAGCTGTCAAACGACGTTACCGCAGCACCGCATGGGACAGCTCCGCTCGAAGCAGCAGAGCCCACGTCATGGCATATGTTGTCGTCACCACAGTAGCTGAAGATGCAGTCGGGGGATGCATCACAAAGACTTTGACAATAACCACCATCGGCGGCATGAAGCTTCTCGGCGATTATGAGGGCAGACCCGCCGACGGCTTGACGGATGACTAAGGAGGCCAAAGTGATGAGGAAGATGACGCAGTGCATTACACGAAGTTACACTTCTGTGGCATATCGCGTATTTGCTTACAGAGGAAGAATCTACCTCGATGACTCAGATTGAAACGGTCCTTAATAACGAGCAATACATGATACAGCAATCACGTTCTTCTGCTCTAAGGCTACTGCCCTTAATTAACGTCGCTCCGCTCCTTCATCCTCAGGGCTTGGCACCTCCGACGAGTCTTCTGATGACTCGGATCCGCTCGACTGGTTGTGCCTGTGCTG